AATTTGTGACTGTATTATAAGTTGTGATTTATAATATATTTTTTTATAATTGATAAATAAATTGTGATTCATAAAATTTTTAATTGTGATCATAAAATAATTTACGATATATTAAAATTTTAATTTGTGATAAAAAAATAATATGTGACTAACTAAATCATTAATTTGTAATCAAATTGTATAGATATATAATTTTAATATATTTATATATAATTTTAATATATTTGCAGTAGTGGTTCAGGTGATGCTAACGGTGGTAGTGAGGTCATGCGATGGTCCGTTGGTACATGTGGTGAATTGGTTTTGGATTTGGGTTTGGGGTTGTGGTGGTGGTCAAAAATGGTGGAGATGGTGATGGCAGTGGTGGAGGCGACGACAATGATGATAAGGCGATAGAGTTTTGGATCTGCTTTGTTGGTGGAGAATTGGGAGTGGCGGCCCGAGTTGCGGTGGTGAAGTGACAGTTCTGATGATGGTGGTCATGGCAGTGGTGTGGTTATTGTGGGTGGTGGGGTTTGTGACCATTTGGTTGGTGGTGGCCATGACTGCGGTTCTAGTTGCGGATTGGTGGCGATGGCGATGTTGGTCGTGGTGACGACGACGACGAGTTTTTGGGAAATTTTTGGTTGGTTGTGGTGGAGATAGTGGTCGTAAGTGTTGGTGGCGGTCGTAAATTATTTGGTTGATTATGATCATTAAATTGGTTAATTTCTGATTAATACAAAACATAAATTGTCACCAAGTAATAATATTTCACCTAAAAAAATGTTAATTTGTGACTGTATTATAAGTTGTGATTTATAATATATTTTTTTATAATTGATAAATAAATTGTGATTCATAAAATTTTTAATTGTGATCATAAAATAATTTACGATATATTAAAATTTTAATTTGTGATAAAAAAATAATATGTGACTAACTAAATCATTAATTTGTAATCAAATTGTATAGATATATAATTTTAATATATTTATATATAATTTTAATATATTTAATTAATAAAATATATAATTAATTAAATCATAAGTAAATTTTGATAAATATATGATTTTTGAAATTGATAATATTTAATCTTTTAGTTATGAATTTTTTCCAATAACTAATTCAACGGTTTAACATAAGGGCTTAAGTGTGGAATGTGAGACTATGCTTCATAGCCTCAGCTTTTGTCATTGCAACCTCAATTTTAGCAATCTGTTTCGGAATCCAAATGAGGAAAAAGAAAAACATATACTACTTTCTCTCTAACTTCCATTCTCTTCAACTTCAACAATATGAATCATTTTTCACGATTCCTTTCTACCAACAGCCACACTTACCAGCATTCCCTTTAGCAATCAACCAAAAACAACCATGTTGCTCAAATTTTGATTCTTGAGATAAGGTAAAGAGATAGTGAGACTAAAATGTCTTCGAGGCCTCCAAGAACTGTCGAAGACATATCCAATCTAAATCTAAAAAAGACAAGTTCGTCGAAGACATATCCAATCTAAAAAGGACAAGTTTTCCCGCGTTCTTGTGAAACGTTCTCCAGGTCCGAAAGAATCGAATTTCTTCATTATTTTCCCAGCCATGGGAAGAAAAATTCCTATAGCCGAGAGTTCTTCAAATAATCATCATCTTATTTCATTTTCATTGTTAATAGTATGCATTGCTGCAACAATGGCTGTAATTTCCTCTCTATGTGGTTCTTTATCACGTAAGAAACCGCCTCGCCCATCAGAAGTTGACAATGCCAAAACAGAAAATTCCCAGCTAGACATTTCATCGAACGGAAAAGATGCATCCAACAAATCACCAGGTGAAATTGAACCTTCGGAGGCGTCGCAACCAGAGGATGATGAACAACAGCGGCCATTGCCGCCACCACCATTCATGCAACACAAAAGGGCCGCCTCGTATCACCACAGATCAAATTCCACCGCCTCATCACACAGCATATTATCTTCAAGCATGAGCATGAGAGTGCTCGGAAATGCGATTTCATCGCGGAAGGAGGAGAAAAAAGAAAAGAAATCAAAGCATGAAGATTCAGTTTGGAAGAAAACAATAATTTTAGGAGAAAAATGTAGGGTTCCACAAGAAGATGATGACACAATTCTTTATGATGAAAAGGGGAATAGAATCTCAACTTATCATCAAAAAACCCCATCCACTGTTTTCTCGATGTCCAGGCAAAATTCAGGAATAAATTCAGATGCAGTTCCAACATAAATGTTAGACTGTGCAACTTTTTTTAGCGGCTCTTCTCTGTGGCAAAACTGCTTTTCGATGGCAAGTCGCTTGAAAAAATAAATAAACTTTTAAGCATAACCAAAATACTTAAAGGAAGAAGCAAGAAACTGAAAATACACAATTCATTTTATTATCTCACAAATTACTAGGAGGTGTTTGAATTATATTGTGAGTAATGCCCAGTTTAATTTTACTGTCATTAGTTTCTAAAGCTTTTAGAAGATTAAGAAGTCTAATAAATATACATTTCCTTTTTAGAACAATAAAAAAATTTCAGACTAGTTGTTTAATAATATGTTACTAAAAGTCGAACATTCCGAAAAGTCTCATAACACAAATAGTGCACGTGTTAGTCCTTAAATAAAAATAAAAATAAGAAAGAGTGAATTTGACTCGTTCATAAAGGTGAAGACTTATTGAAAGTGAAGTTTAAACTAATAAATGTGTTATATCTCAACTTATTAAGCCCATTCATTTGTTTTCATTCTTTTTCTTACAGTACTCATTTTTAAACACATATTTTTTATTAAAATAATATTACATGTAAATAAAAAAAATATATTATTTTTTAACCACACATTTTTCATCAATCACTATTCCATAATACCTTTTTTTTTTTTTTTCAAATTAATGGGGCACAAGCCTAAAGTATTTCCCTTGATCTCTTTTTCTAATTTTGGTGGGTTAAAGTCAATAAATTAATTTCAGTGAAATTTAAATTGAGTTAGTAAACATAGTTTTTTAATCCCCAACCGAAATTTTTTTCCCATTTGGAGAATGGAAGATAGAACAAGACATTTTGTCATTCCTATAAACGATATTATAACTCCTTAATTTATATAGGTTTAAATTGAACAAAATTTATGAAGAAGAATTAGAACGATCTTAAGTTATCAAATGTATATAAAGTAGTTGGTGAACACTCGGAGACGCAAAGTTACATTTGAACTAGATGTGCTAAATGGAGCAAGCTGCTTGGCGGGCGAGTAGGCTTACGCTCACCAGTCGGACAAGTTGAGTGCAAGCCAGCTAACTCAAGAAACTTATGCTCGGCTCTCCTCACATGCTTGCCATTTTTGGGATGAGGCGAGCCACGCACATTTCCTCATTTTTGTCGAAAATTTCATTTTCACTCAGAAGTACCTTAAAAATGTAAATTTGTAAGAATATATAAGATCAAATAGCTATTTAACTCGCGTTCGTAGCTCGCCATGGGTGCAAGCTGAGATAGCGAGTCAAGGAGCGAATCGTCCCAAGTTCGGATCGACATATGCCATGGGTCCGCCCACTCCTTGAATTGGGACATACTGCTTTCGGATATGGGACACTCGTGATGAACTCAAACCTTAATGGGCGGCTCAGACAAGACTATATTTTTCTGAAAAACTGAAGCCAAAATTCACAATTCTGCATCAATGCCGAGTCTTGATGTGAAAAAATTAAGAATAAAATTGAAAAGAAAAGAAAGCAATCTGTTAAGCTTATATATGTATCTATCTATCTATCACATCAAGGGATAATATTTTTTGGACGATTTTAACCCTCTTATAATTCAATTATTTCAATAATATCTTACTTATCGTTTTTTGATATGTAATAAATACTACATAATTATGGTCATTTATGAAATTTGTGTTATTAATTTTCAATTAATTAACATTCACATTAATCTAGTTTCAATGAGCTTTCACTTAATGAATTTTGAACTATATGAATCTACAGTTGTTGACCCCCGAACTTCGACCTCATGATAAATTATCCATAGTCCCCACTTTAGCAGATTTCAGTTCGGTCGCAAAAGTTAAGTTTGGCATTTCTTCACCGCCCTCACAAAAGAGAGACATTATGATTGCCCCTTGTCACATTACCCGCCCAATCTCACACACTTGCCATAACTGATGTAATCACTGCCCAATGCTACCAATCCAAGGTCCAAAATCTTTAATTCTTCACAGGTTATCATTACTCAAGGAAACATTGGCACATGATCACCGACCTCATCGTTCAATCACAAAAGAATTCGACGACCCGATTTTTGAGCTCGACACTATAATTGATTTGACTGATTTGACATAATTTCGACTGGGAACCATGTATAACTAATAAAAGAATAGAAAGAAAAACACAACAAACTTAGTACACAAAAACAAAGAATAACTTTAAAGGAATTTACCCGTTATTGTCTTCGGACGGCCCCTCTTTCTTAAAGTTGATTCGAAATTAACTTTTACAAATTTCAACATCAACAGTTTGGAGCTAGAAAGAGGGCCGCATTGTGGAAAATAGCCCCATTCTCTGCACAAAAATCAAGAGTCATGAGTCATAGCTCCAGCACTAGAAATCCATCCCGTATTCACCCTCATGAAACGAATACCCTGCCTAGTTCTCCAAGACGACGAGAGCAGAACCGAGCAAATGACCCACAAATGATAGCTACGAGGGAAGCTCTGAAAAAACTAACAAATGCAGTTGGCCAATTGGAATAAAACCAAGCCCACTTGTCCTCACTGGACATTGAGGTGAATTCTCCAACAAGGACAAGAGCTAGACGTCCCCCTACCAAAGGGACCCTCCACTTCTTACGAGGAGAACTTTCCGGAAGTCAAACTGACAAAGTCAGGAGCCAGGCCCCTACATCGAAGCCCGCCACAAGGAAAACAGGCAGTGTGTTTGATAGGTTGGGAACTCAGCACTTGCTAACCCCTATATGAAGACATGCTGAACCCGACCTAAGACGTCCTTTGGAGTGAGCAGAGCCTGAAATGAGTGCCCTAAAAAAATGTACAATCGACCTAGAGGATAAAAACAAAGGTGGAATTGAAGAATACCTCACCAAGCAACATTCCCCTTTCACTGAAGACGTCCTTACCAAACCATTGCCTGAAAGATTGAAGGTCCCACAGATGATCGCATACGAAGGAGAGAGGGATCCCCTTAGTCACCTTGATAAGTACACATTGTGGATAGAACTACAGGGGACAAGTGATGCCATCATGTGTCGAGCCTTCCCCCTAGCCTTAGGAAACAAAGCCCAAAGATGGTTCAGGAGATTGCACCAGGTGTCGGTAAAAAATTGGAATGATCTGGCCTTTGCCTTCCTAGCCCAGGTCATGGGCGCCAAAACCAGGACTACATCCAAGGAGCGGCTGGTGAGCATCAAGGAAGGAAAAAGTGAGTCCCTCAAAAGCTATCTGAGTGGATTCAATAAACAATCCATGAAGGTGGAAAAGATATTCAATGACGCTGCACTCACTACCAAACTCGCTGGACTAAGGCCCCGAACAAGATTTTGGTGGTCAGTACACATGGACGGACCCAGGACTTACTACGAGCTCCTAAACCGAGATGAGAAATACATAAGTGCTGAAGAAGCAACCTCTAACCAAGATGAAGCCAAATGTGATCCTGACCACAGCAAAATACTGCTGAAGAAAAAAGGCTGGATAGGAATCCTCAGCCCAAAAGCACAGCAAAATACTGCTGAAGAAAAAAGGCTGGATAGGAATCCTCAGCCCAAAAGAATGAAGGATAGAGGAGAGAGAGATCGCCCTAAAAATAAACCATACAAGTTTTAGGAATATCACCCATTGAAGACCACCTTGGAAGAAGTATTCCTGCAAACTAGTGAGAAAGAAACATTTCGCAGACCGGTGGTTCAGAAGAACGCGCAGGGGGATACCACCAAGGGCGATACTGCCGATATCACAAGATGGTAGGACATGACACAGACAGTTGCCAGGAGTTGAAGGAAGAAGTTGAGTCCTTGATCTGGAAAGGATGGTTGCAAGAGTACATCGCCAAATCGAAAGAGGTAGACCGACTTCCACCACAATAGCCTTTGCAGTAGGGCCCCATCGTAAGAACTTAGCGGGTAGTTCCCAACCGTAATCCTCCTCCATGGGCCAAGATCCGAATCATGGTAGGAGGAAATTTATATATTGAGGGGTCTAGAAAGGCAAGGCGCAAACAAGCCCGAAATGCACAAATTATGCCGAACTACAAAGAACGAACCCCACAAACTGGTACAAACTCTGAGTGGTTTTGGTTTGCAGAGGAGAATTCCCTAGGGATCCTCCAAGATCAAAGCAATGAGCTAGTAATCACCATGCCAGTAGCTGGGGTAAAAATACACAAAACGCTAGTGGACAACAAGAGATCGGTCAATATACTGTACTTGCGAACCTTAAGGCAATTGGAAATATCTGAGCATTATCTTCAACCCTACCCAAGAAAACTTTAGGGGTTCTCCGGAGATCTTATCGAGGCCCGAGGTCAGATTGTCCTCATTATAGAACTAGGCGAAGCTCCTTGCCAAAGGAGGATTTTAGCTGATTTTATGATAGTCGACCTGCCGTCCAACTACAATGCCATATTAGGATGGCCTATGTTACACGAGCTGAAGGCTGCCACGTCAATTTATCACTACTGCATGAAATTTCCCACTTTGTATGGGACTGGAATCGCACGAGGAGACCAAGCGGAAGCTAGGGCGTGCAACATTAACCTACCCAAACCTTGAATAAACATGCTAAGAGGTAGGCCAAACGTACGAGCCGGAGAAGTTAAACAAAAAAACCCATTATCGTAGATCTCTCAAAGATGGACATAACAGAGAAACACTTCAAAAAACCTACGGATGACCAACTGTCCTTTGATGAAAGAGAAGCTAGCCCACATCCTTATCCTGGAGTCTTGGTAGTCTCAATACATGTGGTAGGGATAAATATCCCAAAGGTCCTAGTTGACTCCGAAAGCGCTATCAACATTCTTTTCAGCAACACCCTTGAATGGATGGGCATACCTGCCAATTTTCTACGACCATACTCTAATATGGTCCTTGGATTAAGCGGAGCCCTGACCTCGGACAAGGGATCAATCAAGCTCACAGTTGAGGTTGGATCGTCGCCTCGCCAAACTAGAATGAATTTCGAGTTTGTGGTGTTTAACACCCCGTCACCATATGACGCCGTCATGGGCAGCCCTTGATATTCGGCTTGAAAGTGGTAGTATCTCTTAGAGGTGGGCGTGGGTCGGTTCGGTTCTAAACAAAATCGAACCAAACCAAAATTTTCGAGTATCTAGTAAATGAAACCGTTAAGTCCAAATATAATTATGGAACCGTTCGGGTTCGGTTCGGTTCGGTTCAGTTCAGTTCCATCCGGTTTCGTACTATAATTAAATTTTTTAACATTTATAACAACATTATATAATTACAACTAATGACACATTCAATGGTTTTGGAATATTAGAGACTAGTAGGATTATCTTGTTCAAATGATCACTACAGTCAAAGCTTCGGTCGGCGGAGGTCACAGCGTCGACCGTCGATTGTATAGGTTTTGGAATGTCAAGAAGGTTGTGAAAGTGAGTACGAGAGTCGAGACAACATTATGCACTTTAGTGTAGGTGTTTAGGGTTATTTAGTGGGTTGGATCTTGTTGGGCTAAGAAACGAAACAATAAAATGGGTAATTGGGCAAAAAATTAAAAAAATTAGAAATGAAACAAATTATGGGGCCAAAAATTTGAATTTAGAAATTGTTAATTTGTTTAGAAAAAATTAAAATTAAAATAATTTGATTTATTCAATATAAAAAAAATTAGAAAGATTCGGTTCTTGGTCTAGAACCGAGAACCGAACCGTACTCCTCGATTCTCAATTCAGATACTCGTTCGGGTATTTAATTTGACAAGAACCGTCGGGTTCGGTTCAGTTCGGTTCGGGTTCAGTTTGCCCAGCCCTAGTATCTCTCTACCATTATTCAATCAAATTTTCCACACCTCATGGTGTGGGCAAAGTGAAAGGAAGCAGGGAACTTGCCAAAAAATGCTAATTGAAAGCCTATACTAGCCACCAACGTACCCCCTAGGAGTGTACATAGCCCGCACGTGGGAACCTGAACTCGGTTCACTAGACCCACACATTAAAATCGAAGGAGGAGAACCTGTGGAAGAGTTGGTGGAAATACCAATGTGTGATGACGACCCATCAAAAGCACTCAACATTTGGAACAAGTTGCGAAATTCGATCCGAAGTGAAATTATGAATTTCCTTAGACAGAACCTCGACGTTTTTGCTTGGGATCACGAAGACATGAAAGGAATCAGCCCCACAGTTGCTTGCCATAGGCTGTATGTTGATCTCGCAATTCGGCCGAGACAGCAAAAATGTCGCCCTTTGAACCCGAATAGGTATGAAGCGCTTAACAAAGAGATGCAAAAACTATTATGCAATAGATTCATATGAGAGGCAAAATATCCCAAGTGGATTGCAAACCCAGTTCTCATAAAGAAACACAATGGAGACTGGATGGTGTACATAGATTTTACCAATCTCAACAAAGCATGCCCTAAAGATAGCTTTCCTCTATCAAGAATAGATCAAATGATGGATGCCACTGCTGGACATGAACTACTTAGCTTTATGGATGCATACTCTGGGTACAACCAGATACCAATGTACAGGTCAGATCAGGATCATACCTCGTTTGTCACATATTGAGGTCTTTATTGCTATAGGGTAATGTCGTTCGATCTAAAAAATGCAGGAGTCACGTACCAGTGGCTTGTGAACTTGATGTTCTCCCAACAGATCGGAAAAACCATGGAAGTCTATGTTGATGACATGTTAGTCAAAAGCACTTGCGCCAGAGACCATTGCCAGCACCCAACAGAAATGTTTGATATCCTCAGAAAATATAGGATGAAATTGAACCCAAGAAAATGTGCATTCGGTGTCAGCCCGAGAAAATTCCTTAGCTACATGGTGAACAACAGGGGAATCGAGGCAAACCCGAAAAAGATACAAGCTATCATCAACATAGAAGCCCCAGCTAGACCAAAAGAGGTGAACAATTTAATAGGGAGAAGCCCTCAATCGATTCATATCAAAATCCACAAATCGGTGTAAACCTTTCTTCTACATCCTTCGGGGAGGAAAAAAATTTGAGTGGACCTCAGGATGCCAGGATGCTTTTAAAGAACTAAAGAAACAGCTAGCTCAACCTCTCGTACTCTCAAAACCAAAGGGAGGAAACGTCTTGAAATTATACTTAGCCGTCACTGAACACACCATAAGTGCCGTCCCAATCCGAGAGGAGGACGGAAAACAATACCCCGTCTACTATACAAGCAAAGCACTCCGAGATGCCGAGCTCCGTTACCCCCTGCTGGAAAAGCTATCATATGCGTTGGTCCTAGTATTGAGGAAATGGTGGCAGATAGCCATCAAAAATAGACAATTTTCCAAAATAGCCGTTGACTACTATTTAAAAAAATTCAAAAATTTGTAAAAACTTTAAAAACATTGAAAATCCAAAATTGTCCCTGACATTTCACTCTCAAACCGATGTCTGGAGAAAGAAGGGGAAGAAATAGCTAGGAAACTGACGACTTTTTCTTGGGAGGAGACCGACCAGCCACCATTAGAGGCGAAGAAAGTAAGTTTTACTTATTTTTTCCCCATTAATCTTTGAACCTGAATGTTAAAGGTTTATTTTGTTGGAAATAGTGGTAGAAATTTTAGTAGATTATGTAAAATTACTAGAAAGTAAGTTTTTTAGGTTTTAGTGGTCGGAGGCGATCTCCGGGCAAAGGTCGTCTGTTGCAGATAGCCTGTGCCATCTGTTTAACAAACAGCTTGTGCCGTTAGTTCACAGACGGCCAAGCTGGGATGGCCCAGGCCGTCTATTAACAGACTATCTGGGCTGTCTGTATCGAGTATTAATTTTTTAAAATTTTTTTTCCATGAGAATTAAAATAATTAAAATGTTGTTAAATTATTATTTAAATAATTATTTAATTATTATTAAATGATAAATGAAAAATGTAAATAATGAATAAATATTAATAATCAAAATACGCAATTAAAATTTAATTACAGTTTAATTCAAAGAAATTTCTAACATTTGAAATAAATAATTAAATATTTACGTTTACTTGTTCAATAAATAATTTAAATAATCGATTTATATAAGTAATTAAATCAAATAATTTAAATGAACAATTGAAACAAATAAATGAAAAACCATTGGAATAAATAATTAATTGAAACTCACAAAAATAAATAACATTTAAATGATAATTAAATGATTATTTAAATGATAAGTAAATAAATGTTAATAATCAACATACGGAATTAAAATTTAATTGATACAAATTTCTAACATTTGAATTAAATAATTAAATATTTACGTTTGCTTGTCCAATAAATAATTTAAATAATCTATCCATATAAGTAATTAAATAAATTAATTTAAATGAACAATTGAAAAAAATAAATGAAAAACAATTGGAATAATTAATTAATTGAAACTCACAAAATAAGTAATGAACATTTAAATAATAATTAAACGATTATTTAAATGATAAAAGAATAAATGTTAATAATCAAAATATGTAATTAAAATTTAATTGATACAAATTTCTAACATTTGAATTAAATAATTAAATATTTACATTTCCTTGTTTAATAAATAATTTATATAATATATCCATATAAGTAATTAAATCAAATAATTTAAATGAACAATTGAAACAAATAAATTAAAAACAATTGGAATAAATAATTAATTGAA